CTAAATTGAGTTTAGAGGATTAAAGAGAGTTTGGTTTTAGTTGTGAAAATGCAGGCTTCAGTTAGCGAGTGAATTCTTTTAAATATTGTTTCAGTTTAGTTGAGTTAATTTCAGTACTAGCAATTTGGGCATATCATTTTGGTCAAATATTTAGTTCATTTTAGTTTGGTCCGGTTTTATGTAATTTAGTGATGACCATGTTTTGGGCTTATTAAAGTGGTTCATTTTGTTGTACTCAGTCTCCCTTCTTAGCTTGGTAAAACAATTATTCAAGCTTAACATGAGGAATAAAGTGAGTTGGACACAGTTATTCCGCTATTCATTCTTACATCATCGTATTTAACTTAGTTTTCTAGAATCCATTTTGGCTCATAATACAGGGCCAGTTTAGTTTGGTTTAGTTCAGTTTAATTTAATTTATTTCAGTTAAATTTAGCTGTTTTTTATTTTTATTTCTTTTAATTTAGTTTAGTGTAGTTTAATTCAGTTTATTTCGTTTTAGTTTAGTTTAGTTCAGTTTAGTTTAGTTTAGTTTAGTTTAGTTTAGGCATGACAATTCAGGCTTGAATAACTGGGTTAAATGAATTTTGTTTTGTTTCTTTTACTTTAGTTTAGAGCAGTTTATTTTAGTATCACACAAATATCCATCTACTCAAGCTTATAAAAATGAATAGGGAAGTGGTGTTTAGTGTATTATAATTCAGTTTAGTGTACTAACACAATTATTCAGGCGGTTTAGTTTAGTTTAGTTTAGTAGCACACATTTATTTAGCTCTGTAGGCTTATACTAGTCATTAGTTTAGTTTAATAGCACACACACTGTTATTTAAAGTTATAGTAAATGCTAAATTGATCTGAGTTGAGTTGGTTTTGGTTTAATATCACACATTTATAGATATACACACTACACCATTTGTTTGATAATATGCAACTGTCTTGAACAAAAAAAACAATATTACCATTAAATGTGTTGGAAATGAAATGAAGTGTAGAAGAAAGGCAGTAGAATGTGTTGAGGTTGATTTACCCCCCCCCCCCCCCCCCCCACCATTACATGTTGGAGAGATGGGGATGGGGGTAATGGGAGCAAGCAATGGGAGAGCTCATTATCTGGCAGACCATCTGGTATTGGGAGGGAGGAACTGTCTGTCCGTCCCAGACACAGACACTCTGAATAGGCCTGGAGTGAGAGTGAAAATGTTCCTCTAATTTACATCTGGTATATTTGGACACCAGTGAACAGGGAGGGTGCTTGCAACCTACAGCTAATAGACACCAATCACATTCAAAAATGTTATTAGCATGAGCAGAGATTTGGAAAATAATATAAATCAATTTTGGGTAGATTAGGATATACTGAGCGAATAAAACAACTAACAACAAAGTAAATAATAAGGAAGTATTAATAATCAGATCATCGTCTTTATAATATCCCAGGTGGTCTTGTGAGGGAGTTTTATAGTTTCATTGGTTTTCTTTCTTTTTTGAAATAGTTTTTCTGTGACATTTGTGTAATATCCTAAATTATAGGGTATATTCTTGCCATATTTTGTTCTCGTATATCATGCTCAGATTTGATATAAAATAATACAGATCCAAAAATAGTGCGCATGTGAATAAGTTGTATGAGGTGGTGGTTGGGTGTTTATATAGTTTAAATCAGATTGCTGAGGAAGCTTAGTGTGAGAAGTTGCCCGGCGCAGCAGATGCTCTTTGTTGCTGTTCAGGCTATTGTTGTTGAAAGCTGAGACTCGGAGACTGGGATTGGTCCAGCTACCGGCGGCAGGAGGACATAGCGCCGTCCTATTGGCTCTCCGCGAGTGTCAGTCGGCCGCTCGTCCCGCCCAGCGGCCCTCCCCTCCCCGACCAGGGAAGTTGAACTAAAGTTTGAGCAACTTTGGTCGGCAGAAGTAAACTTGCCAGCAGCACTTGGCGCTCGCTGCGAGACTGAAGAAAGACGGAGAGGAGGACCGCAAACATGAAGCTGTGTCGCACTTTTCTAGGTTCGTATCACTTGTTTTATCTTCATAGCGGCAACTTTAGGAACGAGCTCTGTGTTTCGGCATCTATGTCTCTGTTTAGACCGACGTATAGTTCTACAGTGCGTCTCAGCGCCTACTCATACATCATATATACTGTATATATAATTAGACATAAGGGTATATAAAGTGCTGTTTGTATGACTCGGCCGCTCTGTTTATATTCAAAATAAAAGCTTTTAAAAGAACCGTCGCTGTGTAGGACTAAATGAGGTTTAGTTCTGTCTAATCACACCAGCTGTAACTTTTAAACTCCCAACCACAAACCTCAGGCTCAATTCATCAGACACAAACATATCTAAATAAACTTCTCCCCAGCTTATAAATGCAACTAAACTTCTACCCCCGTGGTAAAAACTGGCCAGACAATGGACAGTTGGTCCCCTAGGGACCGTGTGGCCCCGGTACCGTGGGGACAATGCCAAGCTGCGGTCTTATTAAAAACTTTTTTTGTTTTGTTAGTCTGTCGGCTTGTTCCATCTGTCGAGGGACTATAGGGGCCTCCCCCGGTCCCAACCTCAGCGCTCAGTTAGCTGCTGCCCCATGTAATATTAATACTGGCTGCTGCACAACATAGCCACCATAGTCTGGAGTGACGTGAGCATTAAAGTGCTGGAGGCCTCTTGTGCCATCTGCATCTGCAGACACACTTTGTTACAATAGAAGGAAAAGTTTCCCCAGCTGACGTTTGAGACTTATCCTTCAAAATAAGATATATTTAAACAAAAGTTTAGTTTATTTCAGTATAGTTTTATTTAGTTCAGTAGCAACTCAGGCTTGTGAAATGTAATTTTGTCTATTTTGTTTCAGTTTAGTTTGGTAACAAACATGTATTCAAACTTGTGGTTTATTTTAGATTACTTTAGTTTGGTTTATATTAGCATAGTTAAGTTTGTGGCTATTGTTTTTATAGTTTAATAGCACCAACTGACTAACTACCTTAGAACAAAGGGAAGGGGAGCGGAGATGGTTTGATTTGACTTTAGTTTATCGGCCACACAATACACACACTGTAACAACAAAGGGCAAGAAAAGACCAGCTGATGACGTGTTATCCTTCAGAACACAAGGTGAAACGACATTAAATAATAAATTACTCCTTTAATTCAGGGTAGTGTGATTTATTTTAGTTGTGACAATTCAGTCTTGTAAAAGTGAATGTTTAGTTTATTTCAGTTTAGTTTAGTTACAAATAATTATTCAAGCCTAAAATGAGGGTAAAGTGAGTTTACTTTAAATTTGATGTCCTACCCTTTCTTAAAGGTGGACAACTTTGAAGACAGTACTACTCAGATTATCTCTACTCAGAGTACTCAGATAAGTGGGGAGATAAATATATATATATATGTAAATAGACGGAATAAAATAACTTTCAAGAAGTTCAGACAAAAGCCTTTGTTACCTCAACAATAGCTCATGTGAACTATTATGCAGCCCTGAGAGCCTCAGCGGCCGGAGCTGTCCGCAGTTCTGAACACACACACACACACTCACACATGCGCGGCACTTTTGAGCTGTCCGTCGTCCTGAAATCTCACTACAGGAAAAACAATAGTAATTTTAATGTATATTATGGATTTGTGTCCAGACAACTACTCCCTATCTTCTCTATAATCTTCCAAAATATGTGTCACTCAGGAGGGGGGGACCCAACTCTCCCACACGGTCTCCTCTGCTGGATCCAGGCCTGGGGTTTCTCATATTTTCTCCCTTTTGTTTATTCGATTGTCGATGCTGTTGTTGAGTGAATCCTCTCTCTCCGCGCCCACAGTCTGAAATCATACTGATGCAGCGTGCACGGTCGGTGATTGATTTCAGCTCCAATGCATAACAATGGGATTGCACAAAAAGAGCCTGCTGCAAAGAGATAAGAATTTAATAGAATTTCTGAAAGCTGAAGGTTGGGCTTTTTAAATATTCCCCGCGTGCGCTGCGTGGAGACAGCAGATAAAGGATGGCATTTGTGGGGACTACTCTCAAATGGCTTGTAATGAATGGTTGTCATTCCGACTAATGGTTTCAAAACAGCAAAGCAGAGCCGCGGTGTGAGCAACATTTGGGAGTGACTCCAAGTTGCACTATTAAGACTGACTGTTGTTTGGAGCTGCGCTGACAGTTGGCATTACTCTCAATGAGCCTTAAAGAAACCATCAACACATCTGTTACTGACAGTGATCACTCTTCTTCAAACTCCTGCGGGCGTCACAACAATTTCTCTGCGGCGTATTATTTCTCAGCGATAATCCAAATTGATACCGCACTTCCATCCCCTCACCTCCCCGGAACATAAATACATTTTTCGTAAAGCTCCCATGGAGCTCTCTGCCTCTGATGTCGTTAAGACCCGGAGGAATTATCAGATGCTGTCGTTGCACCGCGCATATAACTCTGCATACAACTACTACATCAAGTCCCAGTCCGAGGGGGGAAATAGCCCTTGAATGAATTATTGGACGGGACCATTTTCCAGGATGTGTGGGGGGTGAAGGATTACAGTATCTATAACCTCTGTGATGCATTTGTGAAACAGCAGGAATTCCAGGAAATGTATGAAACATGAGCTCAATGTGATGTGTGACTTAGTGTTGGCTGCGTGCTGCAGAGCCCAGAGGCGCACACTGACTAAGTACAGATGGGTCATGAAGTTACACATGTTTGGAGAGGGAAGCAGTGTTGGGAACTTATTTTATTATTGGGAAAAAAATCGTGCAGAGACGATGTCTAGAGTCTAGTTTTCAGTCTTAGTGGTTCATAGGATGTATGCAAGAGAGAGGGTGTGTGTGTACATCTGTCCATTCAGTGAGTGTGTAGTAAGGGGGACCTCAAGCCCTGCCCATCTGATGCTGGAGGTTTTACTACAGCTTCCGTGATGTCATGGCAAAGGGCGGAGGGAGGAGATGGGGGTGGGGGTGTGGAGAGGGAATGGAGGGGGGTACAATGGCTCATGAGGGAAAGGTAAGTCAATATTACGTTTTTTCTCGCTGACAAAGGCAAATGAAGCCATGTTTTTGCTTACAAACAAGTAACATCTCAACGCCTTGATCCGGAGCCGTGCACCGGTGCGCTGAGTGGGAGAGGCCGCGTGGAACAGCCTTCGCTCGCGCTTGTTATTTATCAGATGTGGACATTTGTAACGGGATAGATGATCGTTTCTTTTAAGACCTTTACTCGGGATATCTTTTTAGCAAACTACTTGACAGCGACACCGCAACTCTCAAAACACAGCAAGGACGCAGCGCCAAAGCCCAGAGGAAATATTGTTGAATACAGGTAATCAGATGTTTATGTTTTGATGATTTATGATGATAAATCTCGACATCTAAAGGCCTTTTTTTGCGCAACTTTGATATTCCTCCTCACCCTTGTAGTATCGTATAGCCGCACCGGCAGCGTGGTTTTGTGGGTATTGGTGTTTTTATATTTTCATATTTGACGAAATATGAATTCAAACTTCCTCACAGCTGCGGTTTCTCAACAGTTTACCAGTTTTTTTTTAAAGTGCATATTTGTTTCATTTCATTTCATTTTGAAAACGCATCGTTGATGATAGTACTGCAGAAATAGAGAATATTCTGGATTTGCCCTCAAATGAAAGCACGTGTCCTCAAAAACATTGATGCCTCATTAAAGATAGTAATCATAATTGTGTGAAAAAGTGGGACTAAAGCAGCTATTGCGCTTTCTCAGAACCTCAGCGCGTTTCAGCCACTTCTCTGTCGGACAGTTCATCACTCTATGTTGTATTGCTCTGGATGCTCTCCGGCCGAACTGAGACACACCTGAAGTGTGTTCTCCACTCCGTCCTCTAGTTTCACCTTCTACAGGAATACATTAGCCCGTTCACTGGAGCCGCCGCGCGTTACAGCCGCGAGCCGTTTTCTCTCTTTCTGGGTTCTTACAGTAACGTGTGATGTCTGTGTCGAGTCCGGTACCGAATTGTGTTATTATTTCGATATTACAGTGGGCGGTGAGCAGGACTCGTGTGTGTGTGTGTGTGTGTGTGTGTGTGTGTGTGTGTGTGTGTGTG